TTTTTTTTACATTCTATTTTATAAATTTTATATTTATTTTAGAGGTTACGTGCATTTTATTAATGTTTGAAGGGTAAGTGTAGTTATGTGAAATAGTAAATACAACCATATCAAGTAGTAAGTGTGTTCAGTTGTTGTAATAAGTTGGAAACCACTCATTTAAATCATACTTACTATTTTATCAGACTTATTTACCACTCATTTAAATCACACTTACTATTCAATGAGACTCTACTTATTACTTTATCAGATTTGACTTACCACTTATTTAAATAACACTTACTACACAATGAGACTCTACTTACTACTTTATCAAACTTGATTCATCACTTAAGCAAAACTTACTACTCAATTGGACTATACTTTACTACTTTATGAAACTTGACTCATTACTTAAACAATACTTACTACTCAATAGGACTCTACTTACTATTTTAGTAGACTTGATTAATCAATCATTTAAGCTAAACTTAAGAGTGCACTTACTGTATCATCAAACTTGATTTTTTTTTTCTCACCACTTAAATTTCATAATTTTTTTTTTAACTAGGTGAAATGTTGTTCCAACAAAACATTAAAATTTATAAATTCAAAATATCACGGAAAGTTAAAGTAAAAAAAAAAAAAAAAAAAAAGAGATAGAGACTATAGAGATATAGATTCTTACCTAAGGAGTTCCAAATCAATAACAATCTTATCTTCAAATCTTCAAATATTGAAATTTTTTAAAAATAAACATAAAATTTTGTTCATGAAATCCTCAAATAAATTTTAAATTTTACTATATTTTATTAATTATATTTCTTCATTAATTGTATTTATTATTTTCAAGTGTGGTAAATGAAAAGGAAACTAGGTTTCATTTATTGCCATTAAGTAGATACATAAATAAATTAAAAAAAATCATATTTCATAAAATGTAATGGATTATAATAACATGTATAAAATTCACATTTATTTTGTATATTTTTTTCTTAAATTCTATTTTATAAATTTTATATTTATTTTAGAGGTTTTGAAAATTTATTATAACTAAATTTTTTTAAGTTCACCAGTTACCTGAATAGCAGGTTAAGTGTATTTTATTAATAATTGAATGGTAAGTATAGTTATTAAAAATAGTAAGTATGTACTTAGTTATTGCGGTAAGTTGAAAACTACTTTTTGATTTCAAAATCATTAAAAATTATCTTACTTTTTACAAAATTACCTAAATTTCTTAATTTAATTTTAATTATTATCAATTAATGATTAGATTTATTTTATTTTTAAATCTAATGATTCAAATTTATTTAAGTATAATATATGAAAACTACCTTATGTGTTATAGAAAAATCCTTCTCAACCATGTTGTCCTTTTAACGCAAAGGCATATCGTGACCCAAGAAGAGGCTCATTTATGTAAGGGTCATGAAACCCAATGAACACGTGATTGAAAACTTGTGGGCCATCACAGCATATACTTCACCTCTAAGAACCGTTGGATCATTGATCTTTTTGATCAACAACTTGGATGAGTGCTTTTGAGGTCAAGATTGCTTTTATTATTTGTTAGTTTAGTTTCCTATTATGATATATAAAAAAAAGAATACAATTCAGTGAAATTTTTTAAAAAATTCAGATTTATAAAAAAAATTTAAGAATTTAATTATTAATATTTATAAAATTTATCATTGATTTGTAATTATTTTTAAAAAATTATTGCTCACTTGATTTTTTTTTTTATAGAAAAAAAGAATAAAAAAGTGTTGTTTATTGAAGTTATGGTGGACACTAGACACACACTATCATATCTAAAAGGTCTTCCACTTCCAAATATGCATGACCTCTCTATAGAGAGGGAGAGGGAGAGGGAGAGGAGTAAAAACTAGCAAGAATATTTTTAGAAATAGGCTTAAAGTTAATTTTTTAATTTTTTAAAACAAAATTAAAAAAATATAAAGAAGTTATATAATCTTTAAAAAAAAATTAAAAGCCAAAATTAGATTTTAATCATTTCCCAGATCCATTATTCATTTCCCAAATCCATTATTTAATTTATGTATATATTTATTTGCCAAATCCATGAAATCAAAGAAATTAAATTGAAATCAAAAAAAAAATTCCCAGATCCATTATTACTAAAATATTTAATGGAAATGGGCTGTAGCTCGAATCCAATGGCTCGAATTGGCTCGAAAGAGGGAGAGAAGAGAGGAAGAAGAAGCAGAGGAGAAAGAGGGAGAGAAGAGAAGAAGAAGAGATGAGGAAGAACAGAGGAGAAAGAGAGAGAGAGGATCGTGCTGCTCGCCTCGCCATCGCCACCGCCACCGCCGTCGCCTCGCTGCCGCCGATCGTCGCAGCACCAGCGATCGCCGGCTCTGCCTCGCCTCCGCCCCCGGCCCCCGCTTCCATTCCTCCTCCTCCCCCTCTAGTCCCTCCTCCTTCCTCCTTCATCCTCCTCTCCTCCTCCTCCTCCTCCCCTCCTCCTCCTTCCTCCCCTGTTTCTGGTTCTGCTTCACCTTCATCTCAAAAATGAGGCCGTTTTTGAATTCAAGCCATTTCGAACCGCTCGGTTTCGAGCTACCTATCACTGCCGAATATTTAAAGCCATTCACACTGTTCTGGCCATCACCATCATTGTCAACATGTCCAGCTTTACTCACTAAACCAGTCTCTCTTTCTCTCTCTGTATCCACTCTCTCTCATTGATACCCCTCACAAATCCTCCTGCCAACTTTGTGAGTGTTTGGAAAGTAGGTTTTATATAAAAAAATTTTAGTTGTAGAATATTATTAGATAAAAAAAAAATTGTATTTAAAAAGATAATTAAATTTTTTGGTGATTGAATGTAATATTTGTGAGAGAAAAAATAAAATTATTATGAGATTGGATGTGATATTTTGTTTGGATTTATTTTTTTTAATTTTGCAAAAACTTTGTCTTTTTAGTGAAAAAATCAAAAAAACCCAAAAAAAAATTTCCCCAAACACCGCCTTTGTCTTCTGGGTTTGGTGGAAAAGTTCCAATACGACACAATTTTCAATTCAATGCTCAAATCTCAATCTTTTTTTCTGTGATCTGTTTCTTTGCACTCTGTTCTCATCTGGGTTTTGAAAATTATTTCTTCAAAATGACTGTAGAGGAAATTAGAGGATATTTAAAGGACGAGAGTGATAAATTTCATGTGGGTATGCGTCTTCTTGCTGTTGATGATGACCCAACTTGTTTGATGCTATTGGATGGTCTGCTTCGAAACTGCCAGTACCACGGTTTGATTCTCATCTTTTATGCTTATTTCTTCATTTTCTTGTGAGATTTTGTTCCATTGATCATAAATGATTCTTTTTTGTGATTGAGCTTTGTTCAAATTTTGACCCAATTTGTTTTTGTTTTTGTTTTTGGGGTTGAAGTTTGATGGAAGTTCTATTGATTGGTTCTTAAATTTGGTTCTCTGTTTCATCATTTTGGAATGGTTTTGTTGATTTGAGTTATATGGTGACAATATCTTGTCAACGAATTTCTTTTGACTCAGTGTGTTTGCATTTTTGTACTTTTTCTGAAATTTTTTAGGTTTTGAAAAGTTGGGGTCTGATTGTGTGTCTTAATTCCAGAATTCTGTGATTGGATTTTGTTCACACAGTTCAAATGTCTGTTATATTCCCCTATTTAAGGATTTTGTCATTTACTTCTATTTATATATGTTCTCAATTTGTATTGAATCGGTCATATTGGATCTATGTATTTGTGGGTTTTGAATGTATGATAAATTGTGTGAGAAATGGGTGTTCAATGATTAACCTTCATTTAAGATATGTGTTCTAACTTTATGTCCTTGCATGGTTTCAAAGGTAGGAAATTATAAAATTTATTATAAATAACTTATTCTTACCTTTTCAAACTAACATAGAACTAAAGTAAAGGACCCTTATAGATTATGTAATCTTAATTAGTTGTTTTGCATCCAAAAATGCAGAAGTGTTGATACTTTTTTGTAGTAGATTCAATTTTTATTTGTTATAATTACTTTAGATTTCATTTCATATTTTTTCTTCTCTTTTTTTAGATTACACAATGCTTTTTTATTGTTGTAAATTGAATTTTGTAAGAGTATAAAACAAGACTACTCTTTTTGTCTTTTTGAGTTTTTTAATGATTTCTTCATGTCTTGATCTATGTAATTAAATTTAGTTTATGATTTTAGTAATTATATATATAAGCAAAATTTGTGTAGGTATTAGCAATTAAAAAAATTACAAGTACTTATCATTTTATCTTTTATCAATTTTTTTGTTTTTGGTACTTACGTGTAAGTCCTAATAAATGGACTTATTGTCTAATAAGTCCTATGAAAAAAAATTGTCATAAAAAAAAGTCACTAATTGTAAGTTTTAGTGACAATTTATAAAAATCATGACAAAAAAAAGTCACTAATTATCAATTTATAGCGACGTATATAAAAAATTGTCACAAAAAAAATATTTTTAGCGACAATTTTACCAAGACTTATTTTCAATAGAACTTGATGGGAATTAAGTCTAACTATTAGAATTTAGAAACTTTTTTTTAAGGATTTAGAAACTCAAATATAAGGGTTATATAAAAATGGATCTATTGCCAGTTCATTTAGTGGTCCAGATTTCAAAATAATGGATCTATTGCCATGTGCAAATGGCTTAATTAAAAGGTCTATCAAGAAGCTAAAGAAGTCATTAGAACCTACAATAATTTGAGTAAAATGCAGAAACAATGTCAATAACATCAAAACTGAAAGTCAAAAAGTGATGAAGCAAGCTTTATATATGTAAATCTAAATATGGTCAAGCACTGCTCCAGTTTGCAAAAATATTATCTAGTTCAAAAAATTTCACACAATAAAATCTTTTCCATTTCACATATGTAGGTTTTTGCATAGTAATGGTAAAATCTTTACCATTACTATACAGATAAAAAAATTTGCATGCAAATTTCACACACTACGGCCTTTACACCCCGCAACCGCAACTGCGTCACCGCCACCATTACGGCGACTGCAACCGCTTGTCAGAACCTTGAGTAAGACAAATGAAGCAAAAACCTACATATGTTAATTTGCATGCGAAATAACCACAAGTATTTGTAACCTAAATTCCATGGTTCTCTCTCTTCATCTAAGATAGGGAATACTAATATAATTAACAAGCACAATTATCACTGTGCACAATATTCTCCAAAAGATCAGTTAAGTTGACAAAACAAAATAGATCCATCTAGTATAATTAAGTGCTTCCCACAAAATGGTGACAAGAAAGTGCAGCCACCTTCTGCATACATACCTGAAATAAGATCCTTTTTGCCACCTTCTGCTGCCAAACGATACCATTGAATTGAACATCCCGAAAGTTCTGGAGCACTATCAGAGCAAGGTTGAATCCTTAAATATGAACCCAAAGTTTCAGAACCATCTAATTCATATGAGTGAGCCAAGTTTTCCTCACCCCTCCTGCTCTTTGCCAGCTGAGAAGGTCATGGAAATTAGAGTGCAATATTTTAATCACAAAACATCCATATCTCCACATCTCTGCATCATCGAATATGGTCTAAAAATGCAGAAAATATGAAGTACAAGCATAACAGAAGTTTTTACTGGTTGGATTTGGCTTACACTTCCTATCACTATAACAATAAAAGATTCAGAGAGAGAGAGAGAGAGGAGCAGATGACTATCCATACCACGATTTAAAAATAAATAAAACAAAACAAAACAAAACAAAGGTGCATACAAGAGCAAAAAATAGAAGAAACAAGCTCATTTTATTACTTTTAGCGTAAACGGAGACCTTATCAGTTCATATAAAACTAAGACAGGAGCAAATGAAGAATATGTTCATTACAAGGTTCTAATGTTTTTATTTGATGAACATTAATTATCATGCTTTTGGAGAAGACAACTTGCAAATTAGATAGGTGTTAGTGCATGCTAAAACCAATATATTCTTGATATTGATCCAAAATGTAATATTGAGAAGGAAGGCAGTTATGAAATACCTGTTCGCATCTTTTATTGCAAAACCAACTTCCTTCGGGATAATTGTCTACATTCATAACACCCTTTTTCCTTAGGCACCCAACATGATCTACATCAGAAACATATTAAGTGTGGATGTGTATCTGTTAATAAGTATAATACATATATGGTCACGGATACAATAACACAACTACAAATAAGTTCAACTCACATACATTGACGCTCACACTGATCACAATGGAGAACACTGTCATCTGTAAATTGTTTCGAGCCATTATTTAATCCGCTTCTCCCACAAACTCCACAACAGCATGATGGACAAAACCAGTCACCATCTGGAACATCCTAAATAAACAATAAATTGAAGTCCAAATTAGAACTCAAAATTAAAATTCATATACAGTGTTCAAAGAAATAAGTCTGAGAAACCAAAAAAAAAAAATATATAGTTTGATAAGTAGGATAGGAGTATTCAAAGGATCTACCTTCAAACCAAGGCAACTTGTGTGAAATGATGACGGGCATTGATCGCATAAAACTAATTCACCCCCAAAGTGACAGACAGAACATATGTAATCATTCATGCTTTGGTGCCGCCTACCTTTCATGTCAAGTGATTCTGTCATCAAGTTTCTCTTAATATTACGACATTTCAACTGTCTCTGACAATCTAACAGAGACCTCCCATCCTCCAAAAAAATATTCGCTGCTGGTCTGTGATTATTGCTGCCAGCATGTGCTTCAAATTTACTAAGGGTAAAAACTTTTTGGCAACAACTGCACTTGATCCCATCGCGAGTTATTCTCCCTTCAGCTATTGGAGGATGATCCTTTCTGCTAATGTAACGTACTTTTGCCCTAGGCAACACCACATTATTGTCTATTAACCAAGATAATATGGTTCGAGGGTTCTGATCAGAGGAAGAAGGAACCACCACCTGCCGAGCTCTTTTGCTAGAGCGCAGCACACGCATTGGACAATCATCACCCAAATCATCTCTTGATTTGATTGGCGATCCAGATGCCTTTCTTTTCTTCTGCATCCGAGAGCCAGCATTTTGCATTGGTCTAGAGATAAAAGTATTATTACCAGAGGTTCCTCCTTCATCTATACAGGCTTTGCAGGCTGTTCGAAGAGAACTATAGGACCTTCCACTTGGCGAAGTGTATCGCAATTCCCGATTCCGTCCCCTCACATAGTACCAGAATGACCACCCAACAGCGGAAAGATGCTTTTTTGCTTTAAATTGTAGACCCACATATTTGTGGTCCTTAACCTTGTAACACTTCCATTTATCACTATTTTCCACTGATCCAAGAGAATAGTAATCAAGTACAGCTCCGGGGCAATGTTCGGATTCAACAACTCTGTCGGAATGAGGCATCACAGACAGCTCCATGGATGTGTGTGGTGGTTCCGCGAGAGGAGAAGGGAATGGACTATCTGACACAGCAACTGACAGTCTTTCATCATCTTGGGAAGGAAGGGAAAGAATTTCTGATCCAGGTTCCTTCAAATCCCTACAGACCATAACAAGTGAATAATATGATTTCCCATTAGGTGAGATGTATCGCATCTTATTAATACCTCCATCTCTCATGAACTCGATCTTCCAGCCCAAATATGCAAGATGCTTTCTGACATTTAAAGTACGGGAAGACCTATGTCCGGGCTTTAGGTATTCATTAATAGCATCGGGGCAAAATTCAGCTCTAGGAACAATTTCATCACCAGCAGGTTGCCACCTATGACTTGTACTCAACCTTTCCGATGGAGCTTTCCCCAAAGCCTTGCAGATGGTAACAAGTGACAAATATGATTTCCCATCGGGTGAGGTGTAGCGCATCCTAAGAACATTTTCATCTCTCATGAACTCAATCTTCCTTGCACGGCTCACCTGGAAAGTTCGAAGCTGGGCTAACTTCACACTCGTCGTTGTTTCAAGTGCCCTTTAGCTCGGCCTAAAACGCTTCGGCCGACTCGTCCGTGAGCATCGCAGCTCGGTCGTCCATGATCTTGGCCTTGCCACCAGACCTTAAGCTCGGCCCTGACTAATGTCCTTACTCCGACTGTCGAGCCATCACGTGTCCACATTTGACTAGTTTAGGGGCTGTCAACATGACATAAAGGCAAGCCCATTTCAGAATTTGTTAATGAAAACAAGCAAACCCACTTTGTTTAATACTTTCTCCCTCTAGAAATTTGGATTTCCAGACCCATTTTTTCCATTCCCTTCCTGCCTCACTTTTTGACTCCAGGAATAACAGAACCTATTTTCGGAAAGAAGAGTCTGACTTTGGTTTTGCTCTTACATTTTTCTTTTTCTTGGAACTGTAAGCAATTTTGAAATTTAATAATCTGATAACTTGACCTCCAGCTCTTTTTCTATAAATTCCAAACTCCTCCTTAGAAAATTGAGAGCTTGCATCAATGATGTGGTCTTCTCACTTTCTCACTCTAGAGAATTAGATATCAGAGTCTGGGGACAAACCCAGTGTTCTCTTCTTCATCAGGGTGTTAGACACACAGTGTCCGAATTGGGTCCAGAAGACACAAGCAAGAACATAGTAGAGATCATATTCCAATCAAGCTGGCTCCGAAAACAATCCTCCTCCTCCTCATCATACCCAATCTACGCTGCATCGCCGACGACAACGAGCTCCTCCGCTTCCACTCCACCACCTTCGTCTGCTCTCTCGGCCTCAACTCCTCTTCCAATCTCTTACAACCTGTTTGTCTTGCCTTTTGTTCACCGGGTTCCGATTTTGTAAGTTCTGAACTCTCTCATTTTAATAAGCCTTTGTTATTGATTTTCGGTGGACACTATTTTGTAAGTCCTCCACTGTGATTTATTTATCTACTTTTTTTTTTTTTTATTTAATCTCTTTTTTTTATTTATTTAATCTCTCTCTTTTTTTATTATTATTATTATTTTTTTTTGCTCCCTTTTTATTTTATTTTATTTAATCTCTCTTTTTATTATTATTATTATTATTATTATTATTATTATTATTATTATTATTATTATCATTATTATTTTTTTTTTGGCAACTCATAATTTTCTCTTGGTTGCCACAGTGGGACTGCTTCATCGGAGAGGCTCGCCATCAAGTTCCCCTTGATTTTGGCACTGTAAGTCGTAGAACCCATGTATTTCCTTTCCACCTTCACCATTACTTTTTTGGTTAAGTGTAACGCTGAGAGTCGTTTAGCACACGGTTGCTTGGTCAGCCATTGTACCTCCAACCTTGCAAGTCATCCTTAGTGTAGTTGTTTGGTGGAACGTCGCACCTCCAATGGGTAAGTTTCGGAACCTAGTGGACACTCCGGCAGGAATGGATGAGTTCCGCCGAAGATATAACATTCCCAATGATGTCACATTGACATTGGCGGCGGTTGACGCGGATCGGTCGTGTACAAGCACCACAATGCCCTTCTCAATTGCCTCCATCGTAGAGGGGGGTGTTAGGTTTCCGTTGAACCCTTTGTTGCGTCGATTCTTTTCTTATTTTGAACTTACACCAATGCAAATATCAATGAACACACTTAGAGTGATAAACGGTGTCTCGGTCTTAAACGACCTCTTAGACTTGGACTTGGGTAGTTTGTTCATCAAGTGGATCACTCAGTAGAGGCTACTCTCCGTCGCCAGACTTAGCAAGCGAAATGGCTCGTCGCCAAAAGCTCAATCTTGATGCCTTAGTCTTTGGATCTGATGATGAGGACCTTCTAGCTGTTTCGACGGTCGACACACGAGTTTCCTCTCCACCGATGGAGAGGTCTAAGGGTGGAAAAAAGGATGTTGTTGTTCCTCCTCCTCCCGTTGCTACTCTTGCTCTTCCCGCTGATAGGGCCTCAAAGAGGAAGAGGTCCAAAGGTAAAGAAGTTGCTGGGGGTTCTCATGAGCAGGGCTCAGTTGAAGAATGGGTGCCTCCCTTGGAGCATAACGGCCGAGCAATCACTACATCGGACAGCACAATCTACTCAAGCGACTTGGCCTTTGACTTATCAAAGACATTGCTGTTACCTTTGGATATGGCAGAGCAAAACATTTCAAGCGACGTGTTGATCAAGGGTTCGGTGCAGATGTTAACCGCAGTAAGTCTTCTTTTATGTCTTTGTCATTTACTTAAATTTGGTTGTTGAGAATATGACATTTTGGTTTGGTGCAGTGCATTCAGAGGATGCACATCATGGATGAAAGGCGGCATCGTGAGGAGCAAGAGAAGGTTAAGACGATCAACATGTTGGCTGATGCTGATATGTCCTTGAAGGTGGCTGGTGAGGATATAAAGGAGATGGATGATGCAAAGAAGAAGGCCGAAGCACTGATGTTCATGGCCGAGCGGAGGGCCGTAGATGCCGATGCTGCTTTGAAGTCTTTAAAGGCTAATTATCAAAGAATGGTGGACGAGGCCGAACAGAGGGGCTATGATGAGGCCGAAAAGACCTATTCAGAGGAGATTTTGAAGCTGAGGGACAAGATCTTTACTAAGGGTTGGACTGGGGCTCTGCGTGCTGCTAAAGTGGAAGAGGCTTCTCCTCTTTATGATATTGACGATATCCCTGTCCCTTCGAAGACCGCTGCAAGGGTTAGGATGAGAAGGCCTCGCCAAGGTGGAGCTACGGATGTTGATCCTTCTAGCCATTCTCCTTTCCTGCCGAGCTCTTCCTTGGTTAGACAGACTGTCAATCCTACAGAAGAGGAGCACCGCGAGGATGGACACTACGACGAGGAGCAACGCGAGGAGTAAGTTGTTAGGTTGCCTCGAGTTTTGCTTTCACTTCTGCCTTAGTAGTTCTTTTGTAATGAAACTTGGAAGTTAATGAAGTATCTTCAAGTTTTGATTTAGCGCTCGGTTGGATAAGCTATGATACAAACCGAGCTCCCTTTTGTAATGAAGTACCTTCTAAATTTGCCAAGTGTTGAATTTGCAACTTGTACTTTTTTATTTATCTTGCAGTTCGGTAGGGTGGACCTCTTCTTTTGTAAGGCCGAACTCTTTTTTGTAATTGAAGTTTTACTTCAATGCACTCGTTCTTTTATTTTCGCAAGGGTTGAACTGCTTATCTTCAATTTTTGCTTATATGTCATGTTTGCCCCCGGCCGAACAGAGGCTCTGTGGCCTAGCAGGCTGTCTGTTCGGTCTGATCAGGCTTCGTGCCTTAGAAAAAATTGAGTAAGTTTGTCGATGCCCCCAGCCAAGCATGAGCTTTGTGGCTCGGAAGATTGTCTGTTCGGTCAGACCATGCTTTATGCCTTCGTAGAGAAAAAATTGTGAAAGTTTTTTATCATGTTGGTCGGCCGCCACCTGTCCTGGTCAAGTTTTGGCGTGATTTAACCCTTCGTAGAGTGTAATTCTGCCCGTCTTCGAGCGCGAATTGTGAATTTGGACCGTGCTTTAAGTAACGATACTTGGCACAAATTCCACCAAGTTATACCCCTTGGCACCCCGCTCCAACCAAAGGGTTGAGCATCCGGGATTGGCTTGAGTTAAGACCCGTGGCCAATTTGCTCCACCGAGCATAAATGTACAACACAAGCAAATAAGGACAAACTATAAAACAAATTTTCATTCATTGATATTTAGTAACTTTTGATTACATCAAGGCATGTTCTGAGAAATACATTACTGTAAGTACTTCATCCTAGGAATCATATCACTGGAAGTACTTCTTTAGGTTGGCGACGTTCCATGGTCTAGGGATTGCCTTCCCTGATAAGTCAGCCAGATAGTATGCGCCATTGCCAAGTGCTGAAGTAACCTTGTAGGGCCCCTCCCAGTTAGCACCGAGTTTCCCTTCTCCAAGAACTTTCTTGTGATCCATTACCTTCCTGAGTACCAAGTCACTTGGTAGGAATAGCCTTGGACGCACATTCTTGTTGAAGCTCTTAGTGAGTTGTTGCTGGTAGGCCGCCAACCGAATAAGGGCAGCTTCCCTACGTTCTTCGGCTATGTCCAGAGCTTGGGCGATGGCTTCATCATTGTCGATTGACCGACGAGGAGTAGTTCGGTAAGCCCAGAGGACATTCGGTATCTCCTCCACCCATTTGCCCTTGGCTTTTTCAAGACGCCTTTTTAGCCCATCAATGATCGTCTTATTAGACGTTTCAGCTTGGCCATTGCCCTGTGGGTAGGCCGGAGTGGAGTTTCGGAACTCTATCTTCAAGTCAGCGCAAAATCTTCTGAAGATCTTGCCATCAAATTGTGTACCGTTGTCAGAGATAAGGACTCTGGGAATGCCAAATCGAGTCACAACATTGCGCCAAACAAACCTCTTAGTGTCCGCTTCTTTGATCTTGCATAAGGCCTCCACCTCCACCCACTTGGTGAAGTAGTCAGTTGCAGCAATGAAAAACCTTTTATTCCCAGTTCCCCTAGCTAATGGTCCAACAATGTCTAAGCCCCACTGAGCGAATGGCCAAGGACTGGTGAGGGGGGTTAGAGCTTTAGCTGGCTGGTGAATGAGAGGAGCAAACTTTTGGCACTTGTCGCACTTGCGGACATACTGTTGGGCCTCCTTTTGCATACGCGGCCACCAATACCCGTGTGTTAGGGCTCGGTGTGCCAAGGACCGACCACCAGTGTGGCTTCCACAGATTCCGTCATGGATCTCATAAAGCACATCTTCCAGCAGACTTGGATGAACACAGAGTAGATAAGGGCCCATGTAGGACTTCTTGTAAAGCTTACCAGATGGGGAGACCCAAAATCGAGCAGCTCTATGCCTTGTCTTGTGCGCTTCTTTTTTATCCTCAGGAAGGGTGCCATTCTTCAAGAAGGCCAGGAGTGGGTCCATCCAACTTGGGCCCAAGTCTGTGCAGAGGACCATTTCGACTAGTTGAATACTTGGTTGGGGTACATATTCCACCCATATTTTGCGGGCATCTCTGGAGTCGACCGAGGAACCTAGGCAAGCTAAAGCATCAGCATGACCATTTCCCTCTCGGCCGATCTTCTCAACTCTGATGGCTTGGAACTTTCTGATCAAATTTTTGGCCTGTTCTGTATAAGTGGCCATCCGTTCATCGCGAGCCTCGTAAACTCCAGAGAGTTGGTTGACCACTAATTGGGAGTCACTAAATAGTGCATATGCCAATTTCTCCAATGGCAAGTATCTAGTTTCGGCATCAAGGAGTGTCTTACTAACGTAATACACTGGTTTTTGCTCCTTCCCATCCTCTCTGACTAGCACTGCGCTAACGGCATGATCAGAAACAGCCAAGTAAAGGAAAAGCTCTTCGTTGGCGACAGGTGTAGATAGAAGGAGATGAGAGGACAAATACTTCTTCGGATCTTCTAGTGCTTCGGAGCACTGGCTTCCCTATTCAAAACTGGTTTTCTTCCTTAGAAGTTGGAAGAAGGGCTTCATCCAATCAGATGACCGACTGATGAAACAGTTAAGTGCTGCAGCCATACCAGCGAGTTTCTGGAGTTCTTTAGCCTTTGTAGGTGCTTCAAGGTCTTGGAGGGCTTTGATTTGGTCGGGGTTGGCTTCAATGCCCCGCCTAGTCACCATATACCCCAAGAACTTCCCTGATCCCACTCCAAAGGCACATTTTGAGGCGTTCAATCGAAGCTTGTGAGTCTTCAGAATTCCAAACACTTGCTCAAGGTCCCTTAGATGGTGCTCGGCCAACTTGCTTTTGACGACCATGTCATCAATGTATGCTTCCATGGTTTTACCAAGTTGGTCCTTGAACATTTTGGTGACCATTCGTTGGTAGGTCGCACCAGTATTTTTCAAGCCGAAGGGCATCACTTTGTAGCAGTAAATGCCTCTAGGGCTGATGAAAGCCGTTTTCTCTTGGTCAGGACCGAACATAGGGATCTGGTGGTAGCCACTATAGGCGTCTAGAAAGCTCATGCGCTCATGTCCAGCCGTTGCGTCAACAAGTTGATCTATTCGTGGAAGGGGGAAGCTATCCTTGGGGCAAGCTTTGTTAAGGCTAGTGAAATCAACGCAGACTCTCCATTTGCCATTCTTCTTTTTCACCACGACGGTGTTGGACAGCCACTTTGGGTACTGCACTTCTCGAATGACTCCAGCAGCCAAAAGTTTGTCCACCTCTTCGATCACTGCATCGGTGTGTTGCGTGGATGATCGTCTACTCTTCTGAATGACCGGCCGCGCTCCTAGTTGGACGTTGAGTCGATGACAGGCATAGTTGGGGTCTAACCCAGGAGTGTCATAGGCCGACCAGGCGAACACTTCGATGTTTTTACGGAGTAGAGCCAGTAATTGCTCTTTCTCTCCAACAGTGAGGGAAGTGCCGAGCAGGAAGAACTTATCTGGGTTTCCTTCTTCTACCAAGACCGTCTCTAGGTCCTCTACCATCTTTTCGGTCGGCACTCCGCCAACATCTTCCAAAACTGGCTGGTCAGGTACTTCTACCATCTATACTTGGTCGCAGACTTGTTTGGTTTTCATGGCGGCAATGAAGCAGTGTTTGGCTGCCACTTGGTCTCCACGAATCTCCTCCACTCCATACTTGGTTGGAAAGTGAACGAGTTGGTGATAGGTGGAAGGGACTGCCTCCATCTGGTGAATCCAAGGTCGGCCGAGGATGGCGTTGTAGGGAGATGGGGTGTTTACCACCAAGAAGTCAACAGAGACCACCTTGGACTTAGCTAAGACAGACAGAGTTATTCGGCTGAGCGGCCATTCGGTTTGCGAGTTAAAGCCAACTAAAGGGGAGGTGGCAGGTGTCAGGTGTTGCTCATTGAGGCCGAGCTTCTTGAAAAGCTCATAATACATGATGTCTGCGGCACTTCCTTGATCAATCAAGACTCGCTTCACATCGAACTTGTTGGCCACACCAACTGTAACGATGAGGGCATCGGTGTGGGGGTGCTGGATTCCCTCTAGGTCCTTCTCAGTGAACATGACGTTAAACCGAGAAGGTCTGGCTTCTGTCTTGGACTTTTTAGGAGGAGGTCCTACCGACATTACCTGTTGAATGTGGGTGGCTCGTTGGATTTCTCCTCGAATTGTGTTTTCCCTTTCGGGGTCAGTCATTCCATGGATAACGTTGATGACCAACCTCGGGGCATGGTTCGCTTCAGGAGGGGCTTGGTCTGGTCCCTGCTTTTCCCTCGTCTTATCAACGTCTATCCATTGTTGGAGGTGTCCTGCCGTAACTAAGTCCTCCAAGTGTTGTTTGAGAGCTCTGCAATTTTGCGTCTTGTGTCCCTTCTCTCGATGATAGGTGCAACGTAGTGTCTGATTGCGCCGAGCAGGGTCTCCAGGCATCTTAGCTGGCCAAACAAAGAAGGCTTCCCCTTTAAGTTTCTCGACAAGCCTGTATATTGGCTCTTTGAAGACGGTGGTGATGCCTTCATAAGACTTGGCCCTTTCCTCCTCATTTTCTGCTGTGGAGCGGTTCCTTTGGCCATAGTTCTTGCGCTGCTCATCCCTTCTTGGCTGCTCAGTCTTAGGCGGTCGAGGCGGTCTGACTTTTTCTTTAGCAACCGCGACATGTACCGAAGCAGTGTCATCTTCCACACGAGCTTGTTGCTCTATTCGAGCCCTCAAATCCTTCATGGTGGGGGCAGGTCGTTTCGTCAACGGCTGCCTTAGCTTGTACGAAGGGGGTAGGCCTTGCTTGAAGTATAGCACGGCCAATTGTTCACTACAAACATTTTCTTCCAAGTCACCATACTCCTCCCAATACCGTCGCGCGTACTGGCGTAGGGTCTCTTTCCTGTCCTTTCGGATATTGAACAAAGTATCTAACTGCTTTCGGACTCTGCTGTTGGAGACAAATCGGGCTAAGAACGCCTCAGAGAGCTGCGTCCAGTCATAAATCGAGCCATTGGGGAGTTTGTCAAACCATCGGAGGCCAAGTTCTCCAAGGCTAGACAAAGCATACTTGTCAATTAGTGGAATCAATGGAATATTCTAGGAAAAATTGGCAAATAAAAAAGTATGTTTTCTTCACACTATTTAAACAACCCACTCCATATTTTTAGTCAAAAGTCATATTTGATAATTCTAATAACAACATTATAAATTCAGACTTATGGATTTAAAATTTATCCAAAAAAAGAATAAATGGTTTAAGTTTATTTTATTCATAAATTTCACCCTTCATCGATTTAATTTTGACAACACAAATATATTCAAAATAAATTATGTGTTGATAAAGGTGAATTCAAAGCATTTTTATTCTAATAATATAAGAGGGCAATCTAATTTTATGAACTACATAGGAATGCTTACAACAGTAATTGTCAAAAATTGGACTAGGAAGGAGTGCCGGTACAGTAGCATTTACTGTGCTTTTGTACTCCATGGTATACTGGTATTGTCACTACAACAAATTAAGTTTTTAGAGATAAAAATTTAGGGTTTGGTTATGGTGTGCAACTTACACCTTACACCTTACACCTTATACCTTACACTTACACCTTACACTTACACCTTTTGTAAAAAATTAAACCTTACACTTACACCTTTTTTGAGGTTGCACACCATGTGCAACCCACTTACACCTTACACCTTACACTTACACCTTACACTTACACCTTATACTTACACTTACACCTTACACTTACACTTTTTGTGTAAGTGGCACATGGTGTGCACTTGCACACTTAAGAAAACTCCAAAAATTTATGGATAAAATCACTTTTTACAGACTAAATATTTTTGTTATCAAAAATATCATTATTATATTTTTAGCAAAGAAATTGGACATTAGTGATGAATTATTATTGTGCGGGGGTGATTTCCGCACTATGAAGAAGGGTTGAACTTCGTGGATGAACAGCAGGCCTTGGGAATTGAGGATCTGCACAGAATAACAAACGGTGAGGCTGCCCGACCGGGGTTTGGCCGGAAACCTCTCCGATGGTAAAGTCAGGGACTCAGGGAGAGGAAAAAGAGAGGAGAGAATACCAAGAGTGTATATATGTTAAGTGTGTGGATTTTTCGGACCCCTTGAGGGTGAATAGTGTTCACCTTTTATAGGAGAAGGTTGTTTGTTGTTCAAGTCCTTCTCTCTCCGCCATCTGTCCAATGTGTCTTATTCGTGGTCGTCTCCTATTGGAGAAGGACGACCACTCCGCCTGACACTCGGGTGCAGGTCTGTTTTGTTTGTCTCATTAGCGGACATCTCTCATTGGAGGAGGACGACCACAGACGCAGGTCTGTCATATATGCTCCTTGTCCCTCTGCACCTCCAGGTCTCCACGTTATGTTCATACAGAGGGAGAGGAGCAGAGTTGTTGGTCTCTAGTGGACCCAAGAAAGATCTTCAGTGAATTGGCCTTCTCTAAGTTGGTCTGCTCTAGAACGATTGTCCAACCAGGAGGTCCAACATGTTGCTCAACCCACTTCGGAGTGATTCTGTCCATCCAAAAGGTCCAATATGTTGCTCAACCCACTTCGGAGTGGTTCTGTCCATCCAGAAGGTCCACCATGTTGCTCGGCCCACTTTGGAGTGACGCTCGTACATTGGGCCGAACTCCTATGATTGTCTTACTTCGGAGCAAGTGTTGGCCATAGGGCCGAGGTCCGACCTAGCTCCACCTTGGAGTGAGTATTGCATTGGGCCTAGCACCAAGACTTGATTAATTTTCACCCACTTCATTTGCCCCCTGGCTTGCGCTTACGTTTGGCGAAGCGGAAGCCAATTCTGTCACCAACTTCGAAGTTTGGGTGATTACAACTTAATTTGAGCTCCATGAGCTGGATTAAAAATTATTGTTCGGTCCAACTTTTGCGTCTGCCCAATGTTTCGTAGCTCAATTGTGCCCCCAAACTAAATGTGTGTCTTCACTAGCCTTGTAATTGTCTGGCCTGGTGCTCTTTCAATCGGCTGAGCGTCGTTACTTGTCTTGAAAAAATATATATACATAAAAATTTATTTTATTTTATTATTATTTTTTAATTTAAGAAAAAAAAACATATATATACACAAATTTTGTTTTTTTTTTTTAAAAAAAAATTATTTTTTAATTATTATTTTATTTTTTAAAAATATATATACACAAGAAAAGGCCGTTTTGACATGAATGAATGGGCCGAAGGCCGTTTTGACATGAATGAATGGGCCGAAGGCCGTTTTGACATGAATGAATGGGCCGAAGGCCGTTTTGACATGAATGAATGGGCCGAAGGCCGTTTTGACATGAATGAATGGGCCGAAGGCCGTTTTGACATGAATGAATGGGCCGAAGGCCGTTTTGACATGAATGAATGGGCCGAAGGCCGTTTTGACATGAATGAATGGGCCGAAGGCCGTTTTGACATGAATGAATGGGCCGAAGGCCGTTTTGACATGAATGAATGGGCCGAAGGCCGTTTTGACATGAATGAATGGGCCGAAGGCCGTTTTGACATGAATGAATGGGCCGAAGGCCGTTTTGACATGAATGAATGGGCCGAAGGCCGTTTTGACATGAATGAATGGGCCGAAGGCCGTTTTGACATGAATGAATGGGCCGAAGGCCGTTTTGACATGAATGAATGGGCCGAAGGCCGTTTTGACATGAATGAATGGGCCGAAGGCCGTTTTGACATGAATGAATGGGCCGAAGGCCGTTTTGACATGAATGAATGGGCCGAAGGCCGTTTTGACATGAATGAATGGGCCGAAGGCCGTTTTGACATGAATGAATGGGCCGAAGGCCGTTTTGACATGAATGAATGGGCCGAAGGCCGTTTTGACATGAATGAATGGGCCGAAGGCCGTTTTGACATGAATGAATGGGCCGAAGGCCGTTTTGACATGAATGAATGGGCCGAAGGCCGTTTTGACATGAATGAATGGGCCGAAGGCCGTTTTGACATGAATGAATGGGCCGAAGGCCGTTTTGACATGAATGAATGGGCCGAAGGCCGTTTTGACATGAATGAATGGGCCGAAGGCCGTTTTGACATGAATGAATGGGCCGAAGGCCGTTTTGACATGAATGAATGGGCCGAAGGCCGTTTTGACATGAATGAATGGGCCGAAGGCCGTTTTGACATGAATGAATGGGCCGAAGGCCGTTTTGACATGAATGAATGGGCCGAAGGCCGTTTTGACATGAATGAATGGGCCGAAGGCCGTTTTGACATGAATGAATGGGCCGAAGGCCGTTTTGACATGAATGAATGGGCCGAAGGCCGTTTTGACATGAATGAATGGGCCGAAGGCCGTTTTGACATGAATGAATGGGCCGAAGGCCGTTTTGACATGAATGAATGGGCCGAAGGCCGTTTTGACATGAATGAATGGGCCGAAGGCCGTTTTGACATGAATGAATGGGCCGAAGGCCGTTTTGACATGAATGAATGGGCCGAAGGCCGTTTTGACATGAATGAATGGGCCGAAGGCCGTTTTGACATGAATGAATGGGCCGAAGGCCGTTTTGACATGAATGAATGGGCCGAAGGCCGTTTTGACATGAATGAATGGGCCGAAGGCCGTTTTGACATGAATGAATGGGCCGAAGGCCGTTTTGACATGAATGAATGGGCCGAAGGCCGTTTTGACATGAATGAATGGGCCGAAGGCCGTTTTGACATGAATGAATGGGCCGAAGGCCGTTTTGACATGAATGAATGGGCCGAAGGCCGTTTTGACATGAATGAATGGGCCGAAGGCCGTTTTGACATGAATGAATGGGCCGAAGGCCGTTTTGACATGAATGAATGGGCCGAAGGCCGTTTTGACATGAATGAATGGGCCGAAGGCCGTTTTGACATGAATGAATGGGCCGAAGGCCGTTTTGACATGAATGAATGGGCCGAAGGCCGTTTTGACATGAATGAATGGGCCGAAGGCCGTTTTGACATGAATGAATGGGCCGAAGGCCGTTTTGACATGAATGAATGGGCCGAAGGCCGTTTTGACATGAATGAATGGGCCGAAGGCCGTTTTGACATGAATGAATGGGCCGAAGGCCGTTTTGACATGAATGAATGGGCCGAAGGCCGTTTTGACATGAATGAATGGGCCGAAGGCCGTTTTGACATGAATGAATGGGCCGAAGGCCGTTTTGACATGAATGAATGGGCCGAAGGCCGTTTTGACATGAATGAATGGGCCGAAGGCCGTTTTGACATGAATGAATGGGCCGAAGGCCGTTTTGACATGAATGAATGGGCCGAAGGCCGTTTTGACATGAATGAATGGGCCGAAGGCCGTTTTGACATGAATGAATGGGCCGAAGGCCGTTTTGACATGAATGAATGGGCCGAAGGCCGTTTTGACATGAATGAATGGGCCGAAGGCCGTTTTGACATGAATGAATGGGCCGAAGGCCGTTTTGACATGAATGAATGGGCCGAAGGCCGTTTTGACATGAATGAATGGGCCGAAGGCCGTTTTGACATGAATGAATGGGCCGAAGGCCGTTTTGACATGAATGAATGGGCCGAAGGCCGTTTTGACATGAATGAATGGGCCGAAGGCCGTTTTGACATGAATGAATGGGCCGAAGGCCGTTTTGACATGAATGAATGGGCCGAAGGCCGTTTTGACATGAATGAATGGGCCGAAGGCCGTTTTGACATGAATGAATGGGCCGAAGGCCGTTTTGACATGAATGAATGGGCCGAAGGCCGTTTTGACATGAATGAATGGGCCGAAGGCCGTTTTGACATGAATGAATGGGCCGAAGGCCGTTTTGACATGAATGAATGGGCCGAAGGCCGTTTTGACATGAATGAATGGGCCGAAGGCCGTTTTGACATGAATGAATGGGCCGAAGGCCGTTTTGACATGAATGAATGGGCCGAAGGCCGTTTTGACATGAATGAATGGGCCGAAGGCCGTTTTGACATGAATGAATGGGCCGAAGGCCGTTTTGACATGAATGAATGGGCCGAAGGCCGTTTTGACATGAATGAATGGGCCGAAGGCCGTTTTGACATGAATGAATGGGCCGAAGGCCGTTTTGACATGAATGAATGGGCCGAAGGCCGTTTTGACATGAATGAATGGGCCGAAGGCCGTTTTGACATGAATGAATGGGCCGAAGGCCGTTTTGACATGAATGAATGGGCCGAAGGCCGTTTTGACATGAATGAATGGGCCGAAGGCCGTTTTGACATGAATGAATGGGCCGAAGGCCGTTTTGACATGAATGAATGGGCCGAAGGCCGTTTTGACATGAATGAATGGGCCGAAGGCCGTTTTGACATGAATGAATGGGCCGAAGGCCGTTTTGACATGAATGAATGGGCCGAAGGCCGTTTTGACATGAATGAATGGGCCGAAGGCCGTTTTGACATGAATGAATGGGCCGAAGGCCGTTTTGACATGAATGAATGGGCCGAAGGCCGTTTTGACATGAATGAATG